AAAGTCCTGCAACACTTTTTCAAATTTTTGATTTTAATTTTATCTTTTTTGTTTACAACTCCTGACCGGTCTTATATCTACCATGAGTGTCCACCACTTGTCTTCAACGCTCAGAAAATTTCTTGATGCTCCTTTGCCAAAACCCAGCGGAGTGCGGGTCGAGAAAGGAGGCGACCTCACTTTCGAGTTGGAGTTGATCGTCTAATTATTTCGTCATCAAGATGATGATTTAAGGTCCAGGATAGGTGGCAGTCATTTATAGCTCGACCAGGGGAATACGCTAAGAGAGGTAAGAAATCTTGCCGCAGCTCCAGAATTTCTTACCGGGCTCATTTCGGATCATGGTGATTCGCAATGTCATGAAAGAAATGAATATTGTCGCGGTACGAGGGCTCTTGACGAGCTGCCTCGGCCAGCTTCTGGTATTCCACAGCCTAGGCCTCTACCTACACAATGGTGCCCATAACGAAGGGTATGTAGTGGAGCTTCTGTAAGAGCCCTACCTGTAATGGAGTGAGGGACGCTGCTGGCTTCTTATAAAAATATCAAAAGATCGGAAGCGCTGGTAAAGGTGAAACACGCTGTAGCGTGAACGACATGCCTATTTTGAAGCTATTGCAAGAATGTCGTCGTTTGCCAAGATCCACATTTTGGGAGACCATTTGTCCTACTAGACAGTGACTCGGAGTACGGATTTAACTAGTCGAGATTTTTTGAATTTTCTTGGATAACTACTGACTGCAGCACTTATATCCACCTCGTGGATTGAAGCCTTGAGAATGCTCTATCATTTGGTAGTCATAAATGTTACCTATGAATTTTTCAGAAAAAAAAAAATTTTGGAAAGAGTGTTGCAGAACTTTCTTTCCAACCTAATAATTAGTTTGCGTTTCAATGAACTAGTGCGCTTTTTTTACATCAGGAAAATTTTCATCATCTAAATCCCCATGCTTTTACATCGTGTTATATACCATTCGAAAGAGAATTCGTCTGCTCTACAAAATGCTGTGTTCCAATTCCACCTATGTTTCAGGATTTTCGAATTTAAGGCCTGCAAAATGGGAGGTCCAGCCGACAAAAATTGACCAAACCGACAACTAGCTCTAACTTTATCTTCTCTTGACAGAAATCAATCGATGATGTACCCTCTACTTACCCATGACCTCGTTTAAACATTTCCACTCTCAGGTTGCCGAAAAAGCTTTTGCCGTTCTTTTCGAGTTGGCTGACCGAATAAGCCGTAGCAATCTTCAAATTAAAATTGTTCCTCGTAAACGCCATTGTTTCATATCGAGTAGTGTTCCTTTTGTGAACACTTCTTCTGCTCTATTCGCACATTTGTTTTGTTTTGTGCTTGTTGGAGAATTAGTTCGAATTTTAGGTGTTTAGGAATAAGGTGTTTTATCCGCGAAAGTGACCGCATTTCTTTTGAAAAAAATTATCCCAGAGAAGATGAGAAAATCAACCAGGCGTACATTCCTAATTAGTCATGACTTGTTCTTTGAAATTCTACTAGTTTTTCAATGTCGGCTATAAAAAAATTCGAGCTAGATCTCAGGTAATGGTGCTTCGACCGTCGAGTTCTGGTTGAAAAACCAGGTCTGGAAATGGAACGACGCGACTTGTTGGGAAACCTATAGTGTAATGTTCAGAAGAGGTCATATGTAAGTAGAGGGTACATCATTGATTGATTTCTCCCAAGGGAAGATAAAGTTAAGATAGTTGTCGGTTTGGTCAATTTTTGTCGGCTGGACCTCCCATTTCGCATCCTAAAATTTGAAAACCCTGGAACAAAGGTGGAAGTGAGAAATAGCATTTTGTAGAGCAGACAATTCTCTTTCGAATGGTATACAACCCGATGTAAAAGCATGGAGGTTTAGATGAAAATTTTCTGGATGAAAAAAAGCGACACTATTTATGAGACAACCTAATAGAAATCCCTCTCAGTAGTGTCCTTGTTCGACTCTCGGTAAATCTTGGCATTGCGAGAGTACTTCCAGTGAGGCTTAATTGAGCTGCAACCAAGATATTATCAACTTTTTATTCAGCTAACGTTTCGGCCTTATCCTTTGTCGGAGCCGAAAGTCAATAATAACGTGCGCAATTCTACCCACCCCCCCCAAGCATCATTTAAAACTTCGAAAAAAGTCCCATAGTATTTCTCTAGAAAGAATTATGAAACACTTGGAGCCACTTAATTGAAATAACCGTTTTTGGTGCGATAATCACCAATCTCACAGCGCTCGGACACGGCATCATGACCTGAATGCTCCTTTGATTGGGGGAAGCCGATGCACGAAGCCCACAGAGGTCAGAAAGCTGCAGGTCCTAGAAGTGGCTTTTCTTGAAGCTTGAAATGATGCGCGGGGGTAAATCGCACTTATCTTTGACTTTCCAGGCTCCGACGAAGGCGGTAAGGCTTAATCGTTAGCCTGATAAGAAGCATTAAATCTTGTTGCGGCTCAATACAACCTCACTGAAAGAAATATGTACATCAGATTTAATCAACATTCAATGAGAGGACTTCGAACCCACCATATCTTCATGTTGTAGTATGTCAATAATAAACAATCTGAATAAAGGGCTCATTGGTGCAAGAAGCTATCCATGGGATTGAAGGGTTTTTGAAGTGAATATCACATGAAAAAATCTCCAAAATACATTTTCGAAAGCTTTCTGGATTCACGTATTAAATTTGGAACTCAAAACAGAAGCAGGACACGTTGGAAATACCATTATTTTCACTAGCATTATTATTCATGACTTCTGAGCAAAAGGAATCCATGCGTGGAATCGTAATTTACGACTTTACAACATGGCGCAAATAATTGCAATGCGAAAATTTCCTTATTTGTCATCACACACCAAACCATTTATAAGTGAAGATGACTGCATCACACATAGCAGAAAACAGCCATGAAATATCCCGTCTTCTTCTTTGTCTTCCTTCTCATCAGCTGTGTCGGAGCCTTTATTGACAGAGAAATTTTTCTGAGGGGAAAGAAATAAGGTCCCAGAGACTCTTTCGTGGTGAGTTATTAATGATCATTGATTGCTGATTATTGATTAGTGATCGGTTGCGAGCAGGGTTAACCGTGGTGTGTACCCGATTTCAGATATCCGACCTGGAGCCCCTCCCTCACCCCCATCCCATTCTATGGTCGCTGAATCTGTACAATCGTGACACACTTCGAAGCCAACCCTAAAGCTTCAAAAATTGGAGAGCCTCAGGGTGGGTAGAAGAGGAGGCACAGAGGCTACCAAGAAAGGCCTTAATGTTCGTTCAAGATAGATGGCAAAACGCCCCCACCCCCTTCCGAATCGAAATAAGGGTCTCCTGCTCTGGTCCCGCTCAATGGGTGATCGACTCTTGTTGCAACCCATGACCACCACTTTGTATTTTAGGCTGATTCAACTGACACTAAGTCTCAAAGGCTTTCTTTCAGGCACTGGGACTCGTTGTTCAGAAATAATTTTAGTCACAGATATGACATGTTTGTGATCAATAATAAATATTTAATGATAAATATTTGATTGAACAGATGAATTCTCTGTACTCATTGCAGCTTCAGAGAGGTGGAACTTCTCATAAAAAAGATCTTCAAAAAACGCAAGCGCAAGTCTATTTTGGGTAGCGTTCACGTCCGACTCTCCAAGAATCAACCCTCGAAAGGTCCGTGGAGCAAGGTGACCAGGGATTCCCCTATTCAAGCTGCACCTCTTCCAGCTGGTAGTAACCTTACCTCTTTGCTCTCTTGCCTCTCAAAGGTCTGTTCAGACCATTGTATCCCTTCGCCGTAAGCTCGTCAAACGTTCAAAAAGCAAATGCCAAAAAAGGTTAGCTTTTTTTCTCTGGCGGGCCTAGCTTGGACCTCTTCAAAAGTGACCCGGTATCGTTACTTGTGCCTCGAAAATTGTTTCGTGAGCGGTACCAAATACGGACACGGAGCAGGGTCGGTCCTACCGTTGGACTTTTCGGAAATTTTTTACGACCCCCCTCTTCCAATCAAAAATTTCACGACCCCCCTTCACCACCCTCGCCATCATGGTGGCTGTTTCTATAGCATTTAATTCTGAGACCAATCTCCAGTTTCACATGTGATTTCATGAGGCTAGAACGAGTACGACCTCCCCACCTACAAACTCAACAAATGGGGACCTCCCCTCCTCCCGTTGGTAGTTGTCGCAACAGAGGATTGACCCTGCACGGAGTCTAAACATGGACCTGACATCTACAGACAATTCGCAATTCGCGACGACCGATCAATGTCAATGAAAATAGAGAAATGAACGCCTACTTCATCAATGTTGGTGCAGGAAAAATATGAAAATGCATTTGAAAGCATGAACATCACACAATCCCAAGAAATGAAAAAAAGTTATTTATTTACACATAATTCCAAACAGCAAACTTTGGAATCATTTCGTTTTCGGCACAAATCCCAAATGCAGGATTTTTCGAATCGTAGCCGGTCCATTCCATCGTCCTTTGACGAGGAATCGCCAGTAGAGGAACGGCATCAGGTATCGCTTCAAGAACCATGGATGTCGCCTTGAATAGTGGTTTTCAAAACTCTTTCATGGTAAAATTGGTACGCTCAGGGCACCCTAGGCGCGCTGTTGAGGACGTTGACACACCCACAGTCCCAACTGGTGCACTCGTGGTTTAGAAAGCAAGTGCACGGCACACCAACGGGGATCATGGGCGGTCACGCTCACACGCGAAGGGCAACCTTCCCCGTGAAAAAATGGGGTTCCGAATTTAGCAAAGCTCACCTGACTTTACTTTGGTCTAGAGGTGTGGTTTCCATTCGTTGTCCATCCGCATTGAATTCGGCGAAGATGGCTCCTGTGTCTTACGCAAATAACCAACGGACAGGAACAATAGCCGTCATACTGGAAAGCTCTGAGTTGTTCAGCCACTGTTCACTTTAAGAGCCCTCTGTTAACTCACTTTTGCTGGTGGCTCCCGTCCTTCCAAGACCGCTCCCAAGTTCTTCTCAATGGTCTTCAGATGGCTGGAAACTGCTGCGGGCCGTTTTCGCATTGCCCGTGTTCATACAGTCTCCCGCTGCGAACACATTGGGGAAGTCTTCCGACTGAAAACAGGATAGTGTTCGCAAGTTTCTTGTGTATTAGGTACCGGATATCTTAGTGTCGCTTTTCTGAGTTCAGGAAGTTTTGGGGCCGATTACTATGGAAAATCAATATCCCAGAAGGCAGTTTTTGCTCATTAATATTGCGAAATATGTTGCTTACCGTCTTCTATTGTTGGTTCACAATTTAACTTTCCCCCAATTTTTATACTTTTTTTGAAAATTCCTGGGTCCAGTGTGCAAATTCGCATGTGTGTACCAAATGCTTCAAAATTCTTGCTGAGAGCTACAACTTCCGCCCACCAAACCAACATTGCATTTTTGGAGGGGAATACTACCATTTTAATATGCTCAATCGGTTTTCCACAGTTTTCTCAAAAGACAGTGAAGTCTTTCGAAGTGATGCCCGCAATCGTCGTCAAAAAGGTGGCCTAGTTAAATCAGTCGAGACGGGGCTGCACCAGTCTTGTGCTGAAATGGTAGGACACCTTAGCAGTGACTGATAAATGATGCACACGCTTAAGCCAGTACGCACAAGAAATTTCATAATAAAATGCTCAATTCTTTACTCTACAGTGGTTGTCAAAACAGGTCGTTTTGAGTCCTATTTGGCAAAAAAGACGCTGTGAAACATTGTCCAGCTGGCAATCTAACTTTTTCCACCCTAGTCAGCGCAACTTTTGTCCAGGCCTAACTTTTAGCAAGTGAGAGGGATGATTTGTCAGATGATGTCAAAACCAAACCTACCTCTCTTTTTCGACTCAAAAAATTCCTAGCTTTAATCGTACGAGGTTTCCACTCATACTGGTAAATGGGAAAGTGCTAATGAGTCATTCGATGAATATGCTGTCACACTCCCCGATTCTGAATAAAAATTTCTGGTCGAAAACTCTAAAAAAAAACGACATTAATATATCCGGTACCTAATATTAGTGTCTCCAAAGCACAGCAATCATTAAAAACCTCCAGTCAGCAGCCATTATTGCCAGGCGGCTTTGTGGATAAACAGTGTTGTGAAATGAAAGAGAAATAGAAAACAGGAAATATACTCCATAACGAAGGTTTTGGTCAAGAGTATGCCCGACAAAAGACCCCTGGCCTCAGCGAAGAATGAACGAGAGGCAACAAGATGCCTAAGACGCAGAACAACTAGGCTACGTAAATTGCATAGGCAAGCGAACCCAATGCTGTTATAGTCTTATAGCGATTTCTTGAGTGTCTGCCGCTATATTATCTTCTCTAATTCTGTCTCTCTCAAAGCAATATATGGTGTATACTGACTGTAGTGTGTGGTCTTTTCATACATGGTTGGGCCAGCTGCGCCTCACTCAGCCCGTGTGTTTAGGAAAAATGTGGAAGAAAGCGAAATATAACATGTTTGAAGAAAAGACCCTATTGTAGGAAATCATTTATTTTGCCATTGCGTCTTGAAGCTACCAAACGATCTCATGCAACATGTCACAAAGATTCAGCTTCTACGATGCGCACACCGGTCGGGGCTTCTATTCCCGTGAACTTTTTAACAAATCCTTCTAGCGACCTCGCCCCCTACTCAGCCAGATTTATGCCGACCGTCTTCCTCACAAGCTTCTTTTCCCCTCAAGCAAATACACGGAATCATACCTGCGCAGATATTCTCACCCCTCCGCTTCTCTACATACTTTATACATAATTCGTTAGTACACCCCCCCCATAACATTCAACAGCAGATCTCCCTCTGTAATTTGTCCCCAACTAGGTACCCTGCCAGGAGCTCTTCAAGCTCGCCGCATAAATAATGATCAGACTTTCAAACTGTGGGAACAACCTGAACTTGTCAATTGACGTCATGACCCTCATGAAAGCCACAAACACCCTCAATCTCTAATCCGAAAAAAAAAGTAATCTTACGGAAATGAATCAAAATAGAATTTTAAATTCACGACTCACTCTTAACGTCTGGGGATCCACGTCAACCCAGCCTTTTTCGTCAGTAAGCTCCCGACATTCTCGCACCGCCTGTGGAGTGGAGCACGGTGGCCCAATATGAGAAGAGAGTACTGAAAACTGAATATGACGATTGACCAGTAGCTGAATATTGTTCCATCAAGTTCCCGTGCAAACTGGATTACTTAAAGGCAAAGTTCGGGCTCAGACCCACCTGAGAGCCCTTAGCATGGCAAGAAGTGCTGGTACACATGTGCAAAGGAAACCCCACCATTCTACATCGAAACGCGTCACTTGGACCTTAGGCGTCATGAACTTCTAACAGACTCCAGCAAACCCAACATGGTCCGCACACTGGTCCGTATGACCTGCCTGCGTCCGACATTGATCTCCATGCTCATCTTTACTCGGACTCCTAAACAACTGCTCCGCCCCACATTACCTCACCCCCGCTGTCGTCTTGAACATCCATAGTAAGCAAAATGCTCATCATTCCTGTGTATTTAGAATTTAGTTTCCCCTCTTTCCTCACTGTCAGTCACCTCACCCCTCCTCTCCTTCACATTTTAATGAAATCACCACCGTTATTAAACCTATTCATTCTTAAAGGCATGCCCCAGGATCGCACTGGTGTGGCTCTTGCACACGAATGTGAATGTATCGGTGCCAAGTGGGCCGGCAGTGAAGAAAAAAGGAAAAGAATCCGTCGAAAACGCTCAGGTTGAGGGCTCACTCACCTTCCTAATTGGCTGTGCTAAAGGAACGAGAGACTAAGCGCGAAGAGGAGAGTATGGGGCGAGAGAGCGCATCAGATGAGAGAGCACCAGACAACGGCCTGATAAGAGAGCTCGTTCGCTGCAGCTCGAGCAGCTTACTTTGCAAGCCCAAAGCGTTCTTGTCGGTCGAATTCCGTGCACGTGAACGCCACATTTGTGATTGTCCCCTAGGGTTCTATACTTCTGACCGAAGATCTGATCTTCACACGACCTCTGCCTGGGTTGTGCCTTTAAGAATAAGCGCAAGCACATTCAAAAGTGGTCGCATGCGGGAAAAGCAACGAATTTGACATAACCCGTAAGCCGCACGAATCAACGAGAACACAACACTTTTGCATAAAGCTGACGTCAAGTAAATACCTTAAATACCTAGGTACCTTGAAATTCGTAGCAACATAATGTGAAAAACAAAAAGTAAAACTCCATACAAAACAGGTACACACAAAAACAGACTCACGGGTATCTCTGAGAACCCCCCATTCGGGACGCAGTTCTCGTCGAGTAGCTCAAATTTGGCGACCTTATTTTTCGTATCCACTTCAATTAAATTATGCCCATATCGTACATCGACATTTCTCTCTTTAGCCACTTTTTGCAATGCCTTCAAGTAAGCTTCCACTCCGAAAAGCTGAAAATAAGCAAACAAATAAATAAACAAATAAGTAAGCATCTGATTGGTGAGGTGGTTTAACCTCACCAAACAGATGCACATGCGGGTCACTTAATGGATCGAGTCTCGCCCAGGCCTATCAACCCTTTCATCCAGGTGGTGTAAGTGAAAACACTCTCGTCTAAGAGGATATAGGTACTGAATTTTGAATCGGTGGTTCACTGGGTAGCTTGTATTCAACTGCCGGTACAGTGGATTCCAAGTGAAAGTGGAATGCATGGCGCATCCCCGAAAAATTGATCGGCCTTGGAAGCTCTAACTCTTTTCCCCCATGATTTCGTAAACAGTAGCCGACTACTTCACTAGAGATCGTTTGACGGAAAGTCGAAAAGATTTCTTACCCGTGGTAAAGATGTGGCGTAGATGAAATTCGTTTGTTTCCGGTAACCACGTTTACGGACGAGCTCTTCCCCGTAGTAGCACACCTTCTGTGGAGCTCCGGCGCATTTCAGTGGGGTATTTGGGAATGTGAACACGCAATTCCCGGACTGAAAGGAATAGCCTCTAATTTATTGAATAACTTTAGTTTTTGTAAAATATTACCGTAACCGTGCTCAGCTCCTTAAAGGTTTTCGTGCAGTGATTTGGTGAATAGTTTGAGGTGACCCCAGGAGTTTCGAGAGCTTCCGGTAGACCTTTAATCTGAAATTACTGTAGGAGAACCTCGAAAAGTTAGGAAATTTACTCCGTAACTTCACTTTTTGAAAAGCTCACCATATCCCATCGTAGCTGCACACCTGTGGCCAAAATCATATAGTCATATGTAATCTCATCCCCATTCCTGTAACAACATTAGTGAACTTCGTCAAATTCCGAAAAAAAAATCAAAAATGTCTACAAGAAAGTCGACCGTCGACGGCGGTGGGCGTGTCTGAGAACCAGGCCTTTTGAGGCATCTTTTACGCCTCATCAAGCCCAGATAGAGCGCTCTGTGAAATCGCAGCTACCGTCTTCTTGATCGCTCCTCTACCCTTCCCCCTACTCATCTAGTTCATAATCACCTTTTCACCGCGATTTTTTGTCCTTGAGTTAGTAAATCACCAAGAACCAGAGGAAATTGAATACAACTGACCCTAACTTCACCATGTTCTTCTTCGGCTCAAACTTCGCGACGCGGTCATGAAGCCAAACCGAGTTCGGATGGATGAGATCCTTTTCCAGTCTGGTATTCTGTTCCAGTGTCATCCAACCACCGCCGACCATTGTGAATCCTGGTTGATAGTAATGCTTCTGAAAAACGAAAAAATATAACCTCCATGAACAAACTGCAATAAATGACCCGGGCATGGCTTCGATAACACCGTTGTTATAGACCTCGTTACTGTTTGGTCGTTTGAACATCGTCTTACGGTGAAAATAGGGTAACTCATAGCATAAGGACAAGAATAAGGTGTGATCCCGCTAAGGGAAAGAGCTGTGATACCCTTCATGTAGAGACACTTTTAATGAAGGGCAAAGCGAATCAGTCCGATTGGAGAAGAAGAACCAGCGATCAACTGGTGAAAAAACGCAAGGAGCTTCTCTAGGCTGAAGGAGAGGAGATGGGACAAAGAGCCTCAGAGTGGGTGAGCCCATATAAGAGTTTGGACATGGATCTGTCGGGAAAAGACTTAGACAATCCAATTAGAATTATCAAAAAACCTACTTCCAAACAGGGTCAACCGTCACGTTGGACCGATTTCGAAAATTTTACGACCCCCCCTCCCCCTTCTAGAGGGCCTCGATACGACCCCCCCCCCTCAGGGTCAACCCTTCACCACCCTCGCCTGCCATCGCCATCATGGGGCTCATTCTATAGTATTCGATTCTGAGACCAGTCGACACAGCCCAAACTCCGCCCACTTTTTTCCTCAAAATGTTGCCCCGAGTCCGAGCGGGGGTATATACATACCTCACGAAAAAAAACCTCTCCACCTTCCTTTAAATTTTCACGCATATTTTTATGTAGACATTTCCCCTCAAAAGAGGGCTTATACACACCGTGAAACGGCAAAATTTTAGCGCACCAACCAACTGCATCATCACTTCCCTTACTGTAACATTAACGCTACCTCGCGAAAGACGAACCACCCCCCCTCTTTTTACACACCCCAAATACGACCCCCACCCCTCGTTTGGACTTTGCCAAACGACGTTGACCTGCTTCAAGATGCCGCGTGTTACCAAAGTTCTTATCCTTGCGCGTGTAATAGTTCTCAAACAGCAACTAGAGAGCAAAACACGACGCCACAACGACCCTCCCCATCTCCCCGCAGAACGCCCAATTTCAACCGTCGTCTTATGAGCGCACAAACAAACAAAATAAAAAGAGGTGTATTGCTCCAGAGCTCACGTATGAACATATGGCCTATCGAGTGGAGGAGACGATTTTACGTTGCCCACAGAGAAAAAAATACCGTGTGGAAAAAGTATTTCTCAAGATCAACATGGCTCCGCCTCTTCAGTGTGAACTCCGCCCTCGAACGAAATAGGCGGTAGTAATGTTTGAATGTTCCTGCTTAGAACCCCTCTATGGGACCCCTGGGACCCTCATGCTGGCGGTTTTTCGACTACTTCCTTCGCATCAGTGCAGAATGCCAGAAAATAGCGAGATTCCAAAACTCGCTTACATTTGGTCACCCAAGACTTAGGTGGTAAATTCCATGGCGAGAGCAATCCATTCTAGACGGATCGATGGATCCACCACAGCCTCATGGTTAGGTACTGTCGCTCACGAATTAAGCTTAACGGCATTAGTCGCGATCAATTGACGTGTTCTTATGCTCAAGATGGACGAGAAAATCAAAACGAGCGCCAAAAAGCAAAAGAACTATGGAAAGAACTTTTTCCCTGCGAGATTAGCCAAGGTACGACTAAGAGACATAAAGCGAGAGAGAACGCGGTAAGGGGGAAACGCGCACCGTGTAAGGCAGCGAACGAGTAAAAACGGCAGCGGTCGAAGCAAACCCTTGACGGCCTTTCGCAGACACTTTTCGAGCCGCGATTGTACCACGATTTTTGTGCTTGTTGACCCTACTACATAATCATGGATGAAGTTCCTCTTGGGAACCGATCGCGACCTATGCCTTTAAGTTCAGTGATTGACTACTTCCATTAATCAATAAAAAATTTTGGCTCATCCGTTTTTGAAAAGTATAACAACTGCTAAATTTAGGACCCACCTCATTCGGCTCAACGACAGCAACGGAAGAATTTGGGCAGTTTTCTGGCGAACTTGTGACTGGCACCCATTCCAGCAGCTCCGCCTCCAACCACCTAATAATCGGAAGTGCTGCCCTAAATTCGAAACAAATCGTTTCCAACGGAACACTAACCTAGGAAAACATTATCTTTGCGGATTTCAGGATCTTTTTTATTGCTGACGCATCGCTGGAACCGCTGGCGGGGTACCCCCCAGGAGGCCCGTCGCGCGGCAAGAAGGCAGAGTCGGCGGACGAGTTGCAGCGCGTGGTGTGCGATGTAGGACGTGCAGTGGGACACTCTATTTAACTTGACGCGAAATCCCTATAGTGCGCGCGACTCGTCCGCTGACTTTGCCTTCTTGCCGCGCGACGGGCCTCCTGGGGGGTACCCCGCCATCGTGAAACTTTGCCACCAATCGCTGGGCAAGAAG